ACACCTGGGTGTTGGAAATCAAAGTTGGGTCCTCTTGGAAGAGCCTTAAGCTCTTTTAACTGCTCAGCCACCTCCCGAGCCCTATAAGCTTTTTCTTTTCTGTATAAATTTTTGTCAGCATTTATCTTTCCTAATTTTAGCGATTTCTGCACCAATAGATGCTTATGGTTTTCACTTACATTTCAGTAATGGTTAGTTATGTTGAGCACTTTAAACAAACCTGTCAGCCATTTGTATCACCCCTTGAAAAACAATTCATTCAGGCCTCTTGCCATTTCTTCAATTCCTACAAAAGCTATTGAGTTGAGGGGCTGGAACGATGGCTCAGCTGGCTTAGAACTCACTACGTGGACCAGACTGGCCTTGAACTCACAGAGAGCCACCTGCCTCTGCCTCCCAAGTGCTGGGACTACAGGTGTGCACCACCACACTATACTAGAGGTGCTGTCCTGTCTTGTCATGATGCTTGGTTCCAGGATTGAGGGGTAGTTAATTGCACATGGGTAGAGTTTTCTCTGGACCCTCCATTATCTCACTGCTCTGCATACTTGCTTTTACTGTGAAGTCATTCTTCTTTGATTACTGTAACTGTATAATGTAATCTGATAAGGGCAACTGCAATGCCTCCATCTTTGTTTTTACCCTTTGATGGTGCATGCTTAGTGGCAGGTGGTAGCCATTTTGGAACCTCCTACTCTGGGCTGAACCCTTGACTAGCCACAGCTGGTCTTCATCCTGCCTCAAAAGACATGCTTCCTTTCTGAATTAGCCTTTTAACAACTACACAGCAGAAGCTGGGGCAGGAGGCACAAAAAATCTGAATTCTGAATGTTCTCAATGGGGAGGAGGACTCAGAACTGAATTGGGGTGACAGACATGCACCGTGATCATTTAGCAGAGCCCTGCAGAAATCAAAGGAGGCTGCCGTGGCATCTCCTCAGTAAGCTAAACAGCTTCAACTCCCAGCTGAACATAGTGTGCACAAAACAGTGTTTTCCATGCCACTTGCATGGAACACGAGCATCTTGCTGTCTTTAATTAAGAAGTTAACTGGACCGTGAAGTATTGCCCAAGTAAATGAAAGTGATTTGTACTTGGTCAGAGGGGGATATTAGACCTTCTCATGTTTCTTTACTGACACATAAATCATGGGTAGCATTAAACTTTGGAAGGGTCATCTATAAGCCCATCTGTACTGTGAAGCCAGGCGCCATCCCCCAATGTATCCACTGCTTACATGTTATAATTTATTGTGGATAGTACTGAGGACCAGCTGCTTTTTAGAAAAAAAGAAGACAACATACTCTGAATAGATCAACACTTGACACTAGGCAGTTTGTTCTTCCTGGGAAACAGATGTAATTATCCAAGACTTTGGTTTCTGTAGAATTTAAACCAACAGGCAGTGTTCCTCTTTTAACTTAAGAAAACTTGTGTGCACTAAAATGAAGTTCATGCTGATGATAGAAAAGTTGAGAAGGCTTTGATCACATGTCAGTTAAAACTGTATCAGGCAGGATTGTTACAGAGAAAGTAGGAACAAGTCGGAAGTGTGAGAATTTCTGACTGCATGATTTGACGGTCATTACCACATAGACGGCCTTGAATTCATTCCAATCTCATTGCCTTGAAGACCTCTGGATCACTGAAAGACGTGTGTTCATGTCAGTCTCCTACTGTAAACAGTCCTTCACCCCTGTACAGCTCTTGCACCAAAGATTGGAAAAAACTTATAAGAAAACAAGTACAATAACATAGTATAATAAATTATTATAATACAGTAAGATCAAAAAGAGTCTCAATTAGACTAGGAGGTGGAGTGGGGGAGTTACTAAAATGCAAGGGGAGAACAAAAGCCTAGAATGTGACTGTGAGTCAGTTCAAAGTCATGACAGAGTGTTGGATGAAAACTTTGTCTTATGATCGAGAAGCAGAATTCTAGAATTCATTTAAAATATCCTAGACAGGAAGGTACTCAAAGCTGATCATTAGGTTCTCTTCACATTGTCCTACTGATGGGCAGTGAGCCTTTGAGTAAACAATTATCTTAATTTCTATGTCTGCTGGACATGATCATTGGATTGTTGGACATGATCAGTGGAGCCCCACAGCTTTTTGAAAGTCATAAAATCTTTCAGTGGATTTCATTTAGAAACCAAAATCCACGGGAAGGGTCCCTGGAGTCTGCTCTACCAGCTACCTCATCCTCTTGTGACCAATCACGGGATGCTGAGGCTTGAGTGGGTTTCCACAGAGCCTAGTTTGAAAACTACTGCCCTTGCTTCATCCATGGTCTGCTCCAATGGCTCTTCCCCATGGAAATTTTCCCAGGACACCATCTGAAGTATGTTCCTTGCCTACTGACTTTGCTTTCTTATTTAATTTTGTATAGCATCAGATCAGTGTGTATATTGGGCATAGACTGCATGATTATTTTTCTACTTCCCATGTAATTCTCCTGCTTCGTCAAATCTCTGTAACACCAGAGGTGCTAAGTGGCGTATGCTTGTTCCAACAGAGTAAACATTTTACTATAGACAGGTATCTTATGGGGTCATGTTGTAAACCTTAACTACATACACATGCACACACAGAGAGAGAGAGAGAGAGAGAGAGAGAGAGAGAGATCAGGCTCTAAAGCACCACCTGCCTCAGTTCAGATCCTGAATTCCTGTATCTTCCCATTTTCTACCTATGTGACCATGAGCAAGTTTCTTTTAAATATATGTATGTATATATATATATATAATTTTTTAAAAATCTGTGTGGGTATTTTCCCTGTGTGTATGTAAGTGCACCATGTGTATGCAATGCCTGCAGATACCAGAAGATAGTGTCAGATCCTCCGGAACTAGAGTTATGGACAGTTGTTAGCTACCACGTGGGTGCTGGGAATTGAACCGAGGCCCTCTGGAAGAACAGCAAGTGTTCTTAACCGCCGAGCCATCTCTGCAGCCCCATGAGCATGGGTCTTAACATTTCTCTGATTCACTTTACACCCTTATAAAATGGGCACAATTGTAGTTCTACCTCATAAGACCATTACAGTATATAAGAGTTGGGGCTGGAGAGATCGCTCAGCAGTTAAGAGCACTGAGTGCTCTTGCAGAGGACTCAGGTTCAGTTCCCAGCACCACATGTCAGCTATCAAACTGTCTATAACTCCAGTTCCAGGGGATCTGATGCCTTCTTCTGACCTCCAAAGACATTTCACGGCACAGATGTATTTAACACACATGTAGGCAATCCAGTCATACACATAAAATTGAAAAGAATAAAATAAAATATTCTTTTAAAAGTTTATATATATACTTTGTTGAACAGTGTCTTTAATATAGCTCACTGAATTTTAATATAATTACATATAATTGGTATTTTAAAATATTATTATTGCTCTGTTTAACCATTGTAGTCCTAGGCTTGTGTCTAAGACATAGTAGGAATCGGACTTTGCTTCGATGAATAAATGTTCTCTTAGATTTGAACCTCTCAGGTACAGACAGAAACAAGTGTCCCCTTAGCAAGAGTTTATATGTGGATTATCTTTATTATGTGTATGCTAAGTAGTCAGTCACATGGCACGTGCCATGAGCTACAGTGTAGGCTCATGGGAAATTGGGAATGTAGTGGGCTACATGTTCTGAAGCCCACCAAACCTCCTCCATACCTATAATTTGCAGATGTCTTAACCCATGTCATCTGTAGGCAAATATAAGTTTCTGTGAGTGGACATGAGCTGTGAACTGAAGATTCAACATTAGCACCTCCAGACCTTGAAACCTTGGAGTGTCTCATCTCCATCAGGATGCCTTATCATCACCTGAACACTTAGTCCCATTTGTAGTGATAAGATGTGCTGCCGCAGTGGCAGCTATGCACTGCTGCATCTGTCCTGACATCACAACCACCTGGTACTAAGACTGTCTTGAATACTTCCTGAGTGACATTTAAGAGGGAAAAAGTGCATAGCACAGTCCACTGTGGTTTGATTGATGTTCTCTTAATGAAAGGAAAAGTCTTATTAGAGTCCAGGGGCATCTCGTAGCCGGTGACACCTGCTGAGCACTTGGTGAAGACTATGCAGAAAGGAGCTAGCTTTAAGGAAGGCATGTGTTTTGTTACAATCTTCAAAGCTGCACGGTTCTTCACTATTAAATTGTTAGCAAAAATAAATAAATACTTGCTAGAAAAGTAGCTTTTTCATAATGCTGCAATCAGAAGAGAGTCGTCTCTGTGAACTCAGGTCTCACCCAGTGCTTTATAATTGCTATCCTGTATTGCACTTTTCATCTAATTTTTAAATTCCTTGTTCCTTATCAGAAACACAGATGATTCTTTTCAGAAGCTGCTATTCCAAAGGCTGACGAAAATGTTTCTTTGGCTTATAATTATGAAATTATAAGCAAATCTTCTCACTATTGCCTTGACTTTGTGAGCTCTACCCGCTGCTGAGTGTGACCTTTTGATGCAGTGCACTGTAAATTATTACCAAAGATGTTTTGAGTGGTGATTGTCCAAAATTATGAGTGTGGGACTTTCTAACAGCAGTGGCTCTGCTTCTAAACAAATCCCAAATAGTCTGCAAAGGAAACAAGGCTTTTAAAACCATGGCTTGAGAGATGGCGCCGAGGTTAACAGCACTGGCTGCTCTTGCAGGGGTCCTTGGTTTGATTCCCAACACCCATATGGCACCTTACAAACATCTGTAATCCATGGGCATTGCACAACATAGGTGCACTTGCATACATGCAAACAACACACTCATATACACAGAAATAAAAATAAATAAAATGAAACAACTAATAAATGTTTTGCAGACATACCTGTTGGATGTCAGAGGAAAAGGAAGTAGAAAAGATAGGTTGTGACAGAAATCACTAAGTTGAAGGAGTGAGACAGAGTGCCGTGCTGTCTCCCTGGCTTGGTGCAGTAGTGTGGCTGTCTCCTGCTATGGAGTCACAGCTCCTGTCACAGAAATGAACAGTGCTGTCTCTGCAGAGGGAAACACAAGTACGGGTGGCAGGATGGCCGAAGTGGGCCTCCATGAAGCTGCGTAGCTGGTTTTAGCCTTCAGTTAAGGCTCCGTATTGTTCATAAACATGAGAGAAACTTTTATGGACAGGTGAGCTATACTTAGGTGGTAGCTCAGGTTAAGAGATAAATAGTTGGGGTTATTTTTCAGTTATTAGCGTATCACTTGGCGTGTGTTCTAACTTCACTTATGAGTCTCACAGCATTGACAGTAAGTTTTTTTTTGTTTGAACTCTTTTATGTTTTTTCTGATTTTTGTTTTTTATGGTATTTTTGTGAATTTCATTCAATATATTTTGATTGAATTTATATCCCTTCCCCCATCTACATCCTCCGACCCCTCCCCAATTTCATGTACTCTCTCTCTCACTATTGTGTGTGTGTGTGTGTGTGTGTGTATGTATAGAACCAAACTCCCCAAATGCCCTTCCATGTGTGTCTATCCATAGGAGCCTGGTCAACCTACCAAGGGTCTCATCCTTAAATAAAACTAACTCTCCCCTCCCAGCAACCATCAGCTGCCAGTGATTCCTCAGGTAGGATTGGGGTTTCTGATTCACCACCCCATGTTCCTGCTGTGGTTTTGCATGGCTTGAGTGTCTATGGGACTTGTGTATGCTATCACCATTGCTATGAGTTCATATAAACAACTGTCCAGTTGTCTGGAAACCTGTTTCCCAGTGCTCCTCTACCACCTCTGGCTCTTATGATCGTTCCACCCTGCCCCATCTCCCTCCATGATCTCTGAGTGTTGGAAGGCAGAATTTTGATATAGCTGTCCTATTCAGAGATAAACACTCTGCAACTTCTTATTCTCTGCACATTGGTCAGTTGTGGGTCTCTGTTAATTTCTACCTGCTGCATAGGGAAGCTTCTCTGGTGAGAGTTGAGAGGTGCATTAATCTATGGGTATTACAGTAAGTCATTAGGAGTCAGTTCACTACTGTATCTGTTTAAGAGAATAATAGTGTTAGGTTCTCCCCTGTGGCCTGTGCCGTACCTAGCCACAGATTCTTAGGCATGATATTAATGTAAGACATGGGCTCCATCTTATGAAGTGGACCTTAAATCCAATTATAAACTGGGTGACTAGTCCCATGATCTTCATTCCACTAATGCACCAGTGGGCACATCTTACCAGGGCAGTTATAGCTTGAAGGATTCACTGCTGGGTAAGATCGATGATCACTTTTCTCTTTAGGTAACATGCATAGCATCTTCCAGCACTTTGAATACTAGCCAGTAGAAATGAAGCTTTGAAGTCAGTACCAGATTGATTTCTCCTTGTTTGTTCTACTGCTCATGTATGCAATGTCTTCAGCAATAGGGTCTTACCTTGAAGTTCTGATGGGAAACCAAGAGGAGGAGTGATGACCAGTATCATTTGAGGGTCTATGAGATCCCTGTTCAGCATCTTCAAAAGGGGGTTCAATTCCTGGCATTGGGCTTTTACTTTGCTAGCCTGTGATGTCTAGCAAGGTAACATCTCCTTGTTATAGGTAATCCCTTTAATATCTTTTCATATTGTATATGTATGTATCTTAAGAAACTTCTACAGTGAGGGGCTGGAGAGATGGCTCAGTGGTTAAGAGCACTGGTTGCTCTTGCCAAGGACTCAGGTTTAGTTCCCAGCACTGACATGACAGCTAACAACTGTCTATAACTCTAGTTCCAGGGGATCTGACACTGTCTTCTGACCTCCATGGGTATTGCATGACACAGGTACACTTACATACAGGCAGACAATACACTGATACACATAAAAATTTTTTAAATAATTTTTTAAAGGAAACATCTATTTTGTAGGTTTCCATGTGGCGTTTCTGAAGGCCCATATCCCCTCTTGCCCTTCTCTCCCATTTTCCATCTCACTTACCCTTCCTAGTATTTTTTATTTGTCTTACCATGTGAGCTCTCTGAGATGTGGAATTCACTTCCATAATCTGTGTTACTGTCTCAAAGACTCACTGAGTCACACAGGGCTCTTTTCTTCATCAGCATAATTGAGACAATCTTGGGTTAGGGAGGGCTGTGATTCATGTGTGTCCTCTTCATTTGACCTTTACTGGTTTGTTTCATAGCAGGTCCTTTAAGAGATAATTGAAGACCCTCCTTTGTGAACTGGGACCCATATTCAGGAGAGATCATAAAGCACTGAGCCTTTTATACTCTTTCCCTTTCACCATATGAGAGCACAGTGGTCGCCTCCCCTGTAGTCACAGCAGCTAGGAACCATCTTGGCAGTGCTCCAACCATATGTGTCACAAGGCTAAGGTTCTGGGGCATCCAACAATGTTAATTATAAGGTCAGTCTATATGTTCAGATTTTTTCATGTGGCCTAGAAAAAAAAGTTCATTTTAAAAATTATCCTTAGGACACACTTTACCCACAAAGTATAGTGACCTTGAAAATTATACATACAGCCTTGATCATTATTAAATCCATGGTCCATGAGAGCTACCAAGGTTAGACTTGGTAAAAGAGAAATGGACCCAGTTGAAATGTCTATAGACTTGAACTGTTATATTCATAAGATAACTGAAAAGACCCTATCAGAAAATGGTAAAGATTGTTTTAGGGTTGTTTGTTTGTTTTTGATACAGGATCTTAAGAAGCTTGGGCTGGCTTCAAATATCTTATGTAGATGAGGATGACCTTTAACTGTTTTCTGCTTTTCCTGCCCCCTCTTCCTGAGTGTTGGGATTATAGGCATGTAGTATCATGCCATTTTTTTAACTTATTAAATATTTATCTTATTTTTAATGTATGTGAGTGTATTATTTGCATGTCTGTAAGTGCATCCATGTCATACAGTGCCTAAGGAGGTCAGAAGAAGGTGTTGGAGCCCCTGGAACTAGAGTTAGCTACAGACGGTTGTTAGCCACCATGTGGGTGCTGGGAATCAAACCCGGGTCCTCTGTAAGAGCAGCCAATACACTTAACCACTGAGCCTCCTCTCCAGCCCTGTCATGCCAGGTTTTATACAGACCTAGGGATCAATCTCAGGGCTTTATATGCATCGCACACATGTACTCTACCCACTGAGCTACCTCCCAAGCCCTTGGCAGAAAAATCTTAAAGTGTTCCTAAGACCCCACTGGAGTTTTTGTTCTATTTCAGTATCTTTCACTTGAATAAACATGAAAAGATTTGCTGTTAGAAAAATTAAATGAACTAATGGGTGTGCACCTGGCCTAGCCTGTAGTAATTGTTCATGAATGTTACTGACTTTGAACCTAAACGATGTGAGATGAGACATTCATGCTGGAAATCTAGTAAACACAGAAGTGATGTGAAATGGTCTCATTCTCCTCTTTTGTGATGACCCTCTGAAGAATCTATCCTGTTAGTCTCCTCGCTAGAAAGAATACACGCTGTAGTAATTGTTCATGAATGTTACTGACTTTGAACCTAAACGATGTGAGATGAGACATTCATGCTGGAAATCTAGTAAACACAGAAGTGATGTGAAATGGTCTCATTCCCCTCTTTTGTGATGACCCTCTAAAGAATCTATCCTGTTAGTCTCCTCACTAGAAAGAATACACATCTGTTATTGCAGCCCAGCTGGATTCTAACACTAACCTTACCTGGATTATTCTGCCTTCCTGAATGGCAGACGGTGGACACCTTGTCCCGTGCTGTTCCTCTGACTTCTTTGCCCTGTAGTCCAGGGAAGCACGCAGGTCTCTTGCCAGTTCCGTGAAGAAGAAGTAATCTTCTCTTTCTCCCACTTTCTCTGTTTCTGACCATTCGTCACACTCCTCTGGTGGCTTCTATTGTAGGGTTTTCTCCTCTATTCACATCACAGATGCCCTATTGGGAGAAGATAACTGAGCCTGTGTGCTGTGTGTGACACAATAGCTATGAACACAGCCACATACAAAATCACAAGCT